GCCGACCAAGAAGTTGTATGCCAAATGGTACTGGGACACACAAAGGCTGGTCTGGCTAATGTGAGAAGACCAACCAATGCCAAGCTGGAGTGGAATTCTTCCAGGACATTCAGGAAATTCTTGTCTTGAGCCATATGGTAAACACTTGAAAGGAATGATAAATGGGACTTATTGTCTTTAAATGTGGACCCAAACACCAAATGGAAAGTTCACAATTCTACTAACACAATGCAGCAGAGATAGAGTCTAAATGGTATCCTCTCATTCTGGTTCCTGTTCATCCATGGCAATATAGAAAGAAAAGGAGGATTGAGGGAAAGTAAGTTCTCTGAACTGGTGAACATAATCCGTAGGTACTGTCAAGCGAACAGTTATCACACTCTGTTATGAGTATTGAAGAATAGGATGAAATTGCATACTGCATCAGGAACCATCATGTGAACACTGTTCAATGTGCGATATACTATAGGCATATGAATAAAAGAAATTGATAATTTGATTGTTGCTTATGTTTCATTTGCCAGCTGTGTAAATGGGGATGTTTCATGATTTTGCCTCAGTTTAATAGCCACACTTATCTTATGAAACCATGCATTGCTTGGGCATCTCAAGATAAATAACACATGTTTCCTTTGCTCTGAAAACGTCTGATGACACATTGATCTGTTAAAGTGACTAAGTCACAACCAGACAAAAAGTTTGTTGGTGGTCTAACTCTTCCTTTGGACAGGGGTCGAAGTTGGAAAAAGGTCGTGTGTGATCTATATATACTACTTTTCCCCCTAAATTGCCTTTTCTGCAGAAGTCTTAGTAACTCTTATACATATACTGGTTACATTACTTCCATATTTTGGTCAATGATATGTTGAATTTTACCAAAGGACTGCATATTTGGTTTATGTGCTGGATAGCTCTTTGAAATGTTTTTGAAATATTTATCACTGATATTGAAGGTCAAATTCACACTCAAAAGTGATAACTCATGAATGGTTGAAGTGTAAGATCAAGGCAATAGTGAAGGGGTCATTCATAAAGTATTTCTGCAATTATAACTAAAATGCCTATTTCTGGAGATATTTGTGAAGTGTTAAGCACATACAGTAGAACACGGATATAACGAACTACCAGGGACCAGAGAAATCAGTTCGTTATATCCGTTGTTCGTTATACACGTTTTCGCTCGGAAACGTCCGCCATCTTGGATAAGACAAAACACAATACGCACGTAACTGCAACATTGATTTGTATTAGCTGATATCAATTTACAACATTCATTTAATAACATTAAATTCATAACATTTTCTGAAGATTGTTATCAAATACATGTACAAAATTTAAACATTTTTACATACGAAATGTGTAGTCTGTTTTACTTTGGCCTCGTTTCGCTGACTGCATTCTTGAAACGGCATCGTTCAGACCCGCCAATCTGTCAAAAACTGTTTGTTTTACAGACAAGATTACCTGTACAGGTAAGATTAACACAATGCAAATTTAACAAGGTTGATCCGTCACCACTGATTGTATTGATTCGCCGCCATTGTTTTGATTCGCCGCTGATTGCATACAGCCAATTGTCAGTGACACTTGACACTGAGTGAGATTTCTCAGTTCGCTATACACGTCGCTAATAAGTGATAAATGGGCTTGTCGGTGATCAGGTATCAGTTCGCTGTATCCGTTAGTTGTTATATTATTTGAATACACATATATGTGCAGTGGTTACAACTCCAGTGTCACATTAACTCTCAATCCCTTTTAATAAAAGAATTCACAGTAACTGAGGAAGAGCTTACTGTAGTACCATAAAACTAGGGTGAGGCAAATTTCAATGAAGTTAGTATTTTGGATATAACAAGTACATGTACCGTTACAAATAGTCTTATTATCATCTCACTAGGACCAAAGGCCCAAGTGAGCACATTGTCAATGACTTTTTCACTTTCTGGAAGTCTGGACATGAAATTTAAGGATATCATTATACGAGAACTGATCTTTGTTCATTAAATACCATTAACATCTGAAAAGGACAATATATGAAATTGAACAATTGTCTTCACCAAAAATGTTTTAGGAGGATATTTACCATTAAAGAAACCCAGAATATTACAACAGCTACCTGTAATGCACAGGCTAACAATTTTTACCAGAAGCAAGTCATGAAGAAAATTTGCATCCGGAAACCTTCCAGATGCCTTCAGCAACCTTCAAATTGCTTGGTATTTTCAAGTTAATTTTTTATGTGTTTCACACTTTAGTGAACAAAATGCACCCACCAAATTTTGACATTTTTTTTGGAAGGTTTCCAGGAGGTTTCCGGAAGGTATCCGGGCCGGATCCAAAATGGGAAGGTATCCGGAAGGTTTCCGGAAGACGGAAACCTACACTTTTTTTGCTGTGAATGGTGACACCCTTCTAACCAGACTCTGTTGGACTCCTGTTTAACTCTTCTTTCCTTATGCAGATTTTACCCAAAGTTTGTACCCTGACTGCCAGTTAGTCCGGCCCACAGATGAAACATCTATTTATCTACGTCTGTATGACGACTGAAATAAAATCATGGTGACTTCTCTGAGTTTTGTATTGATGCCGGGATCTCGGCTTTTATGGCAGCCATTTTATAATCATACACAGGTCGGTGTAGGATGTTAGTTGTATGGAAACATCAAAATACCAATATGTAAGTGAGTGAGTGTCTGGGTTAACCAGTGGTTGATAGTATGAGCACCGCTCCTGATAGACGACATGGACACCGCCTCTGATGGACAGCCTGGACACCGTTTATGATGGGCGACATGGACACCGCTCATGATGGACGACATGGACACCGCTCCACCTCACAGAAGTGCGATGACATACATCAACCAGGTGACACTGTTCGTTTGTTGCTTAACGCCGCACTCAGCAATATTCCAGCTATATGACGGCGGTCTATAAATAATCGATTCTGGACAAGATAATCCAGTGATAAATATCAAGAGCATCGATATACTCAATTGGGATGCGATAACATGCATCAGCAAAGTCAGCGAGCCTGACCAAAGATGCCGTTAGTCGCTTCTTACGATAAGCGTGGGTTGCCGAAGACCTACTCTTACCCGTATCTTCACTGGTCGGTCACACACTGAGGCACCATGACACACAGTTGACCACGTCACTAATTGTAACCACCAAATAACAGGTCGGCTTGAACCACAAGTATTTGATCTTGGGAACCTTTTCTGATCCTGATTCAGAAGGTGTGAGACAGACAATTGACAGTGAAAGGGCTTAAGGCGAAGGGATGGTGCGGCCTGATGTCCGTGACGCAAAGATCCTGTTGACTCCTTCACTTTTATTAATTTAACTGCCTAATTATCAACATACTATCCCATACTATCAATAAATCTACATGTTGTACTTCAAGGTTTTCTTGCGGGGACACAACAATACATGCTGTCTAAACTATGGGTACCGCTGACACAACACTATATGCTGTCTAACTATGGGTACCAATGACACAACACTATATGCTGTCTAACTATGGGTACCGCTGACACACCACTATATGCTGTCTAACTATGGGTACCGCTGACACAACACTATATGCTGTCTAACTATGGGTACCAATGACACAACACTATATGCTGTCTAACTATGGGTACCGATGACACAACAATATATGCTGTCTAACTATGGGTACCACTGACAACACTATATGCTGTCTAAACTATGGGTACCGATGACACAACAATATATGCTGTCTAAACTATGGGTACCGCTGACACAACACTATATGCTGTCTAACTATGGGTACCAATGACACAACACTATATGCTGTCTAAACTATGGGTACCGATGACACAACAACATATGCTGTCTAAACTATGGGTACCGCTGACACAAAAATATATGCTGTCTAACTATGTGGATTTCGGGAAAACAAAGCTATCAGCCCCCTGACTGCATGTTGTCTAAACTACCAGGTTCCACTCCACTCCGGGAAAAAACTCCATATCAAGCTGTAGCTTGTATTGCGACATAAGAATTGTGTATAACTACTGTAGGCTGGTCATAAAACATTCCAAATAAACCCATAACAGAACTTCAATTCATAATATTCATGAATGCGTTGTTAGTATTTTGTGATATTTAAAGATGTCACGTGGTATGGTAAAACCCTGAACGTCGCACTCCGGGAATATGGTAATAAAACATATCAAAATACATTTAGCAATATTCAGATTCCGCTTTTGACAGGGTCCAGTGTATACAAGTAAAGTAACTTTATTTCCACCGCCCATAAGTGAGATTAGCCCGAGGTCTGGTCGATCTGGTTTGTCAGCACCCTACCCTTGCTCCTGTGTTTCAGTAATGTATTAAACGTCTACAGTCTGTGTCATTGGGTCTCTTCTCCCATATAGAACTGACCTGAAGACACCACACTACCGTTTAACTCAACACATAACTGTGTGTGTTATCATTCACAACGCGGCAGCCTCTACACTGGCTTATAGCCCGCAAAGCAATGTGTAGATCTATCCCATTCATGCGAGTTGAGTAAAGGTACGGCACGACTCGCAGCAGAGTGAAGCCATAGCTATTGATACCGACGGGTATACATGACTCGAGCCCTGAGCACATTACACGGATAGAAGGGTTATGGCAGTACACGAGAAGAGTTGTAGACTTGTGTGTTATAGCTCGGCCGTGGCGGGTATGTATGTGTGTGCTTCTCGGCTGCTCGCGAGACTCGTACGCGCTCTCCTTATTGATTGACAAGTTACCTGCGTGGTCAGATCGTGCTGTGGCAGGCGGGTGATAGAGCAACATGATGTGGATATAATATTATCGTCACTGATGTCATAAGTCTTATTGCACAGTCCACGTGTGGATATAAATAAAAAGGAAATCCCCAGTCGACGCGCACGTGCAGACAATGGAAAGGAAAATCCACTGACTTGAAGAATTTCCCGATCATCAAAAACGTGAAGAATATTCCAGGTCTGACATGGATTTATATTTAATTTCAGAACATGGTATAAATGGACACTATTTTCAGGACTGCTTTCCATTCGGAGACTGAGCTTCAAACGTTCTGTTCGTCAAGTATTTGCCTCTCCCCACCTTCACACTGAATACTAAGTGTCAGTACTCACACAAGGTAGGTGTACATACTTTAATACAGTCATGCGTTATCGTCACCTATTTTCGTGTCTTATTTGCAAACTCTCATTAATCTAAGTGAGTTTGATATTTCTAAAACCGATTATCTCAAAAATGAGTAAGTGAGTTTGATATTTCTAAAATTTCATTTTCTAATATGTTTGTACTTAGTAAATTATATGTTTGTCTGTATGTGATACAATTTCATTTTGGTATTTTTAAATATCAAGAGGATATATAGGATGTGGGAATTATTTCTCAGGTATTTAGCAGGGAAATTTAATCAGGGCTGACAGAACATAAATCGGACCTATCGCCAACCGACAATATCATGTATACCTTATATCTGCCGTAAGATGGGAATAGGAGTTGAACATTTTTAGTAACATGTAAGGGATATTTTCCTTTATCGTGGAAGCCGCTATTTTGGAATCAGAGAATAATTGAAAGAGTATAACTTAGTTTCATGTGTAGTAAACGAGTCGAGGTATTGTACGTAGGTGGTATATATAGAGTATTACATGATAATGTAACAATGTGAATAATGCTATGCCTGACGTCAGCACGCTCACCTGTGTGTTCATCAATATTTCTTTATAATTCATTTGAACGAAGCAGTTATGTATATACACATTTTCGCGGGAGTCGGAATCGTACAGTGGCCTCTATTAAAGATTTGTTATCGTTTTGGCTGTGGCTATTATTTAGGTAGTGTTTGTAAGCTTATTTAATTTTTCCTTTCAGAAATCAAGATGGGAGTCATCGAGCTTGAATCTGTTATCAGAAAGTGGGTAGAGCAGCGAGTGGGGGTCGGAAACGCCAGCAACAAGGCGATGGACATCGACTGGCACAAAGTCCACTTCTCCACCGTCAGTTCGAGCTTCACGCCCCGCAGCATGCGTCAGCAGCAGCAGTATGGAGGACGCAGACAATCCCAGAACAGCAACACCAACTCCCAGGTCGTCTTCACTTCCAACTATGAAAACAACACTGGCGAGGTCCAGAGCCACACCTTCATGATGGAGAGGGAGACCGAGGCCGTCGTCAGGACCAGCGTCACAAAGGGCTTCTCCAAAAGCGGCGACGTCGGCATCAACATTGACGTCCCTGAGAGCATCTCCAAATCCACTGCGAGCTTCGGCAGCGACGTCCACATCAAACAGGAGGACGACAACACGGTGAAACATTCCATCAAGTGGTCTCTGAACTCCACAGTGAAGGCTCAGCCCTACACCCGCACCACGGCCACCCTGTACGTCACGGAGACGGAGAGCCAGTTCGACTTTGACGCCGAGGTTCACATCAGAGGTAAAGTGCTGGTCAGGATGACCAACGGCGCGTCGCAAACTGTAACCGAAGGTGACATAGCCACCATCCTCCAGGACGAGACTGCCAAAGGCAGATTCAACCCCAACGATATGGTCATCATCCAAGGGAAGAAGGTCACGTGGAAGGTTGCCGGGCAACTCAAGTTTAAGTACGGCATTTCCCAGGATACATCAGTGTCGAGTGAGGCCTTGTAATATTAATGACAAACAAACAAAATAGTGACATGATCATTATCCAAGGTTGGAAGGTCACGTGTCTCGAGTGAAGCGATACAAACATTTTAAATCTGAGGAAGTATCTCAGACTGAGAAAAAAAACTGTTCATCGCGTTTTTTAAAAGAAATCCCCCTTTACATTTATTCAAAGTGTCACTTGTGAAATAATGTGTTGTCATACTGTGTGATATTAAGACATCATTAAAACTGCTGTTGTTAAAAAAACAAAGAAATGTGTTGTATTTTATACTGTTTGCACCTGAATAGAAGAGAGATGCGAAAAAGCGTAAACATGAGTGAGTGAGTGAGTGAGTATGATTTACGCCGCTTTTAGCAATATTCCAGCGATATCACGGCGGGGGACACCAAAAATGGGCTTCACACATTGTACCCATGTCGGGAATCGAACCCGGGTCTCCGGCGTCATGAGCGAACGCTTTAACCACTAGGCTACCCGACCGTCCCCGTAAACATGAACCACTCTAACTGACGCATGTAGTGCGGGAGGCCACCGGAGACGCCTCGGTCAAGATCGTCAGTTTCCGTGGCTCTAGACTCTTTGCTGTGTCACCCGTGGGGATTCGGGGTTTGAATATGTCCCCAGTTTGCCGTCAGGGGTATGTTAGCGGATCCGGTGGTCAGTTTCGGGGACTTGGTTGATAATACGTGAAGTAGATTGACGGCGTAGATCGATGCTCATGATATCAGTCACTGGATTGTCTGGTCTAGATTCGATTGTTTACAGGCTGCTGTCGTATAGTTTGGCGTTAAAAACATACAAACAAACCACAGACTCTTCTATAATAGCTAAAAAGAATGCTGAACATCCGAAGGTGATATATGAGTTTACATAAAGTGATTTTACGTTCCCTTCTTTCAATTGTTTGTCTATGGGCAACGGCAACTACAACTGTTTCAAATATTGTAAGACTTGGAAATGGTAATCTTTATAGAATCAGATGTGATTTGTCAGGAAATGGTAATCTTTATAGAATCAGATGTGATATGTCAGGAAATCGTAATCTTTATAGAATCAGATGTGATGTGTCAGGAAATGGTAATCGTCATAGAATCAGATGTGATGTGTCAGGAAATCGTAATCTTTATAGAATCAGATGTGATGTGTCAGGAAATGGTAATCTTCATAGAATCAGATGTGATTTGTCAGGAATGGTTATCTTCATAGAATCAGATGTGATTTGTCAGGAAATGGTAATCTTCATAGAATCAGATGTTATGTGTTAGGTTATTGTAATCTTTATAGAATCAGATGTGATATGTCAGGAAATGGTAATCTTCAAAGAATCAGATGTGATTTGTCAGGAAATGGTAATTTTTATAGAATCCGATGATACACGACATGGAACTGATCCGTGTGGATTGCGGGTCAGATGAGATCCCCGGTAGCTGATGTTTGTCCAAGCGCGGGGCCAGATTGGTTAACGTTGACACTATGCCCGCCATACAGCGACCACATGTAGAATGTTATGTATGCCTAAGAAAGCCTCTCCCCCCTCCCAACTTTGTCACGCGCACGCACACGCACGCACACGCACACGCACGCACACACTTTTCATCCGCGAATGTTGTAAGAAGCGACTAAATGGATCGGATGGTGAGAGTCCGTCACTCTGCTGTTTGCGTGTAGCCGAACCCCGACTGAGTGCTGATATCATTATGAATTGTTGATATTTGATTGATTTGAGTGTTTACAGGTCGCTGTGATGGAGCTGGATTACTGCTGATCGCCGCATAAAAATAAAAATAACTATTTCATTTGTTTTTTCCCACCGGGAGACTCGACTTGCGCTTTGTCAGTTTCGCACCCGCAGCACGCGTCTCCAGTGCCAACAACCAATGCGCAGCTCTTCCTTAAACGTCTTTGAAGACTATAGTAAATACAGTAAATAACGGTTATAATGAAGTCAGAGAGACCACTAATTTTAGTTCGTTATAACCGTAGTTCGTTATAAGCATATATAAAGCATATATACCGCAAATATACAGCAAATGGGCGGGATCAAAATACATTTCGTTATATCCGTCAGTTCATTATAAGCGTGTTCGTTATAAACGTAGTTTACTTTAACTCGAAGATGCGATTGCACCTAACAGTTCCTGACCAATACAACACAACTCCGCGTTATAAATGTGAAGTTTTCAGGAATACACCGCATGAGTGTTCGCCATTCCAGTACATGTGCACCCGACCGTGATATCCGGGGTAGAACAAACAAACGTTTAAACAAACAAACAAACAATCAAAATGTAACAGTGAAAGTTTATTCAATGCACACATAACGCCAATAACAACAAGAGGAGAAGGGGGTCTTTGTACAGGTGGACATTCTGCAGCCTCGTTCTGGATTCAGTCAGTCGATCACGGGGCTGCAACATATCAGTCGACATATGTCATTTGTGAACTGCTGTAGTGACGGTGTCATACCCGGAACCGAATGTGTTGGCCATGCCACCATATCATTATTCCATGCATACGCCAGTGATTTGATTTAGTTTAACTCAATGAAAAATACGGGTTAAAGACTTTCCACGACACAATGATATATTAACCAACATGTTCCTATGTTACGTGCACACGCGAACACATACGCGCACGCACGCACGCACGCACGCACGCACGCACGCACACTCAAACTGCATTTACACGAGAGGTATCGTGCGTCATGTGCTGTTCGTTTTGAGAAGAGATCTCCTGTAGCCTACGCTTGTAAGTGGCGACTGTAATGATTCGGGTCGTCGTGATGTTGCTGGTACATTGCTGACTGCCACGTCATCCAAGTTTGAGGGAACAACTCGAAACGGAAGAAATGTGAGCGACAAGTAAACTTTAATTACCAGCTTCCGGAGTTGGGTCCTCGAACGCCAGCGCCGCATCAAAGAACTCGTCCAGATCCACGGTGCCATCACCTTTCAAACAGAACAGAAAACAACAATCTGAGGATGTGCACGCGGCCAGTAGTCTGGGTATATTCACGTGGAGTTTGTCTGTGTGGTGGGCAATAGTTTAGTTTTTCCATGTTGTTAATACCATGTGGATTAAACCACAGTGTTTGGACAATAGTATTTGAATCGTACTATTGAAATATGGTGAGTAAATAGGGATCTTCCAAAGTGTCTTTTATGAAGGTATCTGTCATTCTTTTCTAAAGGTATTTGCCACCGTCCAAACATAAAACGTGCTGAGTTAAAACTGCACGTCCACCGTCATTGAGTTAAGATGTCGCTATACGCGAAAACACAAAGCGACTTTAAATGTTAATTCACGCATTTCTCGTCGAGATAACGACCTAGTAATTTAAACTGTGTCAGCTAAACAAACTGTGTTCAAATCTGCAGCTAACACTAGCGTCACGTCTGCAGCTATCACTAGCGTCACGTCTGCAGCTACCACTAGGGTCACGTCTGCAGCTACCACTAGCGTCACGTCTGCAGCTATCACTAGCTTCACGTCTGCAGCTATCACTAGCGTCACGTCTGCAGCTATCACTAGCGTCACGTCTGCAGCTACCACTAGGGTCACGTCTGCAGCTATCACTAGCGACACGTCTGCAGCTATCACTAGCGTCACGTCTACAGCTATCACTAGCGTCAAGTCTACAGCTATCACTAGCGTCACGTCTACAGCTACCACTAAGGTCACGTCTGCAGCTATCACTAGCGTCACGTCTGCAGCTATCACTAGCGTCACGTCTGCAGCTATCACTAGCGTCACGTCTGCAGCTATCACTAGCGTCACGTCTGCAGCTACCACTAGCGTCACGTCTGCAGCTATCACTAGCGTCACGTCTGCAGCTACCACTAGCGTCACGTCTGCAGCTATCACTAGCGTCACGTCTACAGCTACCACTAGCGACACGTCTGCAGCTACCGCTAAGGTCACGTCTGCAGCTATCACTAGCGTCACGTCTGCAGCTACCACTAGCGTCATGTCTGCAGCTACCACTAGCTTCACGTCTACAGCTACCACTAGCGTCACGTCTGCAGCTACCACTAGCGTCACGTCTGCAGCTATCACTAGCTTCACGTCTGCAGCTATCACTAGCGTCACGTCTGCAGCTACCACTAGCGTCACGTCTGCAGCTACCACTAGCGTCACGTCTGCAGCTACCACTAGCGTCACGTCTGCAGCTACCACTAGCGTCACGTCTGCAGCTACCACTAGCTTCACGTCTGCAGCTACCACTAGCTTCACGTCTACAGCTACCACTAGCGTCACGTCTGCAGCTACGACTAGCGTCACGTCTACAGCTATCACTAGCGTCACGTCTGCAGCTATCACTAGCTTCACGTCTACAGCTATCACTAGCGTCACGTCTGCAGCTACCACTAGCGTCACGTCTGCAGCTATCACTAGCGTCACGTCTGCAGCTATCACTAGCGTCACGTCTGCAGCTACCACTAGCTTCACGTCTGCAGCTACCACTAGCGTCACGTCTACAGCTACCACTAGCGTCACGTCTGCAGCTACCACTAGCGTCACGTCTACAGCTACCACTAGCGTCACGTCTACAGCTACCACTAGCTTCACGTCTACAGCTACCACTAGCGTCACGTCTGCAGCTATCACTAGCGTCACGTCTGCAGCTACCACTAGCGTCACGTCTGCAGCTACCACTAGCGTCACGTCTGCAGCTACCACTAGCTTCACGTCTACAGCTACCACTAGCGTCACGTCTGCAGCTACGACTAGCGTCACGTCTACAGCTATCACTAGCGTCACGTCTGCAGCTATCACTAGCGTCACGTCTGCAGCTACCACTAGCGTCACGTCTGCAGCTATCACTAGCGTCACGTCTGCAGCTATCACTAGCGTCACGTCTGCAGCTATCACTAGCGTCACGTCTGCAGCTACCACTAGCGTCACGTCTACAGCTACCACTAGCGTCACGTCTGCAGCTACCACTAGCGTCACGTCTACAGCTACCACTAGCGTCACGTCTGCAGCTACCACTAGCTTCACGTCTACAGCTACCACTAGCGTCACGTCTGCAGCTACCACTAGCGTCACGTCTGCAGCTACCACTAGCGTCACGTCTACAGCTATCACTAGCGTCACGTCTGCAGCTACCACTAGCGTCACGTCTGCAGCTACCACTAGCTTCACGTCTGCAGCTACCACTAGCTTCACGTCTACAGCTACCACTAGCGTCACGTCTGCAGCTACCACTAGCGTCACGTCTACAGCTATCACTAGCGTCACGTCTGCAGCTACCACTAGCGTCACGTCTGCAGCTACCACTAGCGTCACGTCTGCAGCTACCACTAGCGTCACGTCTGCAGCTACCACTAGCGTCACGTCTGCAGCTACCACTAGCGTCACGTCTGCAGCTATCACTAGCTTCACGTCTGCAGCTACCACTAGCGTCACGTCTACAGCTACCACTAGCGTCACGTCTGCAGCTACCACTAGCGTCACGTCTGGAGCTACCACTAGCGTCACGTCTGCAGCTACCACGTCGCGTCACGTCTGGAGCTACCACTAGCGTCACGTCTGCAGCTATCACTAGCGTCACGTCTACAGCTACCACTAGGGTCACGTCTGCAGCTATCACTAGCGTCACGTCTGCAGCTATCACTAGCGTCACGTCTACAGCTACCACTAAGGTCACGTCTACAGCTATCACTAGCGTCAAGTCTACAGCTATCACTAGCGTCACGTCTGCAGCTACCACTAGCTTCACGTCTGCAGCTACCACTAGCGTCACGTCTACAGCTACCACTAGCGTCACGTCTGCAGCTACCACTAGCGTCACGTCTACAGCTACCACTAGCTTCACGTCTGCAGCTACCACTAGCGTCACGTCTGCAGCTATCACTAGCGTCACGTCTGCAGCTACCACTAGCGTCACGTCTGGAGCTACCACTAGCGTCACGTCTACAGCTACCACTAGCGTCACGTCTGCAGCTATCACTAGCGTCACGTCTGCAGCTATCACTAGCGTCACGTCTGCAGCTACCACTAGCGTCACGTCTGCAGCTACCACTAGCGTCACGTCTGCAGCTATCACTAGCGTCACGTCTGCAGCTACCACTAGCTTCACGTCTACAGCTACCACTAGCGTCACGTCTACAGCTATCACTAGCGTCACGTCTGCAGCTATCACTAGCGTCACGTCTGCAGCTACCACTAGCGTCACGTCTGCAGCTACCACTAGCTTCACGTCTGCAGCTACCACTAGCTTCACGTCTGCAGCTATCACTAGCGTCACGTCTGCAGCTATCACTAGCGTCACGTCTGCAGCTATCACTAGCGTCACGTCTGCAGCTATCACTAGCGTCACGTCTACAGCTACCACTAGCTTCACGTCTGCAGCTATCACTAGCGTCACGTCTACAGCTATCACTAGCGTCACGTCTGCAGCTATCACTAGCGTCACGTCTGCAGCTACCACTAGCTTCACGTCTGCAGCTATCACTAGCGTCACGTCTGCAGCTATCACTAGCGTCACGTCTGCAGCTATCACTAGCGTCACGTCTGCAGCTACCACTAGCGTCACGTCTGCGGCTACCACTAGCGTCACGTCTACAGCTATCACTAGCGTCACGTCTGCAGCTACCACTAGCGTCACGTCTGCAGCTACCACTAGCGTCACGTCTGCAGCTACCACTAGCGTCACGTCTGCAGCTACCACTAGCGTCACGTCTGCAGCTATCACTAGCGTCACGTCTGCAGCTACCACTAGCGTCACGTCTACAGCTACCACTAGCTTCACGTCTACAGCTACCACTAGCGTCACGTCTGCAGCTACCACTAGCGTCACGTCTGCAGCTATCACTAGCGACACGACTACAGCTACCACTAGCGTCACGTCTACAGCTATCACTAGCGTCACGTCTGCAGCTATCACTAGCGTCACGTCTGCAGCTACCACTAGCGTCACGTCTGCAGCTATCACTAGCGTCACGTCTGCAGCTACCACAAGCGTCACGTCTGCAGCTATCACTAGCGTCACGTCTGCAGCTATCACTAGCGTCACGTCTGCAGCTACCACTAGCGTCACGTCTGCAGCTACCACTAGCGTCACGTCTGCAGCTACCACTAGCGTCACGTCTACAGCTACCACTAGCTTCACGTCTGCAGCTACCACTAGCGTCACGTCTACAGCTACCACTAGCTTCACGTCTACAGCTACCACTAGCGTCACGTCTGCAGCTATCACTAGCGTCACGTCTGCAGCTACCACTAGCGTCACGTCTGCAGCTACCACTAGCGTCACGTCTACAGCTACCACTAGCGTCACGTCTGCAGCTACCACTAGCGTCACGTCTGCAGCTATCACTAGCGTCACGTCTGCAGCTATCACTAGCGTCACGTCTGCAGCTACCACTAGCTTCACGTCTGCAGCTACCACTAGCGTCACGTCTACAGCTATCACTAGCGTCACGTCTGCAGCTACCACTAGCTTCACGTCTACAGCTACCACTAGCGTCACGTCTACAGCTATCACTAGGGTCACGTCTGCAGCTACCACTAGCGTCACGTCTACAGCTACCACTAGCTTCACGTCTGCAGCTATCACTAGCGTCACGTCTGCAGCTATCACTAGCGTCACGTCTGCAGCTATCACTAGCGTCACGTCTGCAGCTACCACTAGCGTCACGTCTACAGCTACCACTAGCTTCACGTCTGCAGCTATCACTAGCGTCACGTCTACAGCTATCACTAGCGTCACGTCTGCAGCTATCACTAGCGTCACGTCTGCAGCTACCACTAGCGTCACGTCTGCAGCTACCACTAGCGTCACGTCTGCAGCTACCACTAGCGTCACGTCTACAGCTACCACTAGCTTCACGTCTGCAGCTATCACTAGCGTCACGTCTGCAGCTATCACTAGCGTCACGTCTGCAGCTATCACTAGCGTCACGTCTGCAGCTACCACTAGCGTCACGTCTGCGGCTACCACTAGCGTCACGTCTACAGCTATCACTAGCGTCACGTCTGCAGCTACCACTAGCGTCACGTCTGCAGCTACCACTAGCGTCACGTCTGCAGCTACCACTAGCGTCACGTCTGCAGCTACCACTAGCGTCACGTCTGCAGCTATCACTAGCGTCACGTCTGCAGCTACCACTAGCGTCACGTCTACAGCTACCACTAGCTTCACGTCTACAGCTACCACTAGCGTCACGTCTGCAGCTACCACTAGCGTCACGTCTGCAGCTATCACTAGCGACACGACTACAGCTACCACTAGAGTCACGTCTACAGCTATCACTAGCGTCACGTCTGCAGCTATCACTAGCGTCACGTCTGCAGCTACCACTAGCGTCACGTCTGCAGCTATCACTAGCGTCACGTCTGCAGCTACCACAAGCGTCACGTCTGCAGCTATCACTAGCGTCACGTCTGCAGCTATCACTAGCGTCACGTCTACAGCTACCACTAGCGTCACGTCTGCAGCTACCACTAGCGTCACGTCTGCAGCTACCACTAGCGTCACGTCTGGAGCTACCACTAGCGTCACGTCTACAGCTACCACTAGCGTCACGTCTGCAGCTACCACTAGCGTCACGTCTACAGCTACCACTAGCGTCACGTCTGCAGCTACCACTAGCGTCACGTCTGCAGCTATCACTAGCGTCACGTCTGCAGCTATCACTAGCGTCACGTCTGCAGCTACCACTAGCGTCACGTCTGCAGCTACCACTAGCGTCACGTCTACAGCTATCACTAGCGTCACGTCTGCAGCTACCACTAGCTTCACGTCTACAGCTACCACTAGCGTCACGTCTACAGCTATCACTAGCGTCACGTCTGCAGCTATCACTAGCGTCACGTCTGCAGCTACCACTAGCGTCACGTCTGCAGCTACCACAAGCGTCACGTCTGCAGCTACCACTAGCGTCACGTCTGCAGCAACTCACGTTTCGCATCCGCCATGTTCATGAAGTGATCAAGTTGGGCGTCGTTGTGGTCCACGCCGAAATAACTCGCGGCCTCGGACCTATCCACTAACCCATCCGTGTTGGCGTCCAAAGTCTGAACCTCACGCCCAGTAAACTTTCTGTAGGAGTAGTTTAAGATTGCAATAATTGTACACTTTAGATTAAAGATGTTAAGTGTATTAAAGATATTTTAAAACAGTTCGTGCAAGAATTCTGAATATGAATAAGATCAATAAGTACACTTATGGGGACCATGAGGTACATGCTGAGTTAGCCAGGGTTCCAGACAACCGGGGTGCCGCTGAAGGCCATCAATGAAGTAAAGGTTATCAAGATTCTGCCGAACCTAAAAGTCTTAAAGGACCTATCGAGTCACGGATTTCGAGTTGAAGATAAAACAAAGTGAATGTATTCAACGAAAGAGAAGATATTTTATAACATAAGGCTAATTAATATCAAAGGCACAGGAACAAAATACTGATAATCAAATCCACAAACGAAACATTCCGCCGGGAAGAGGAAGTAAACAACAGTTCTAGACTCAAACAATGTCTCGAGGGTGTCACCGCACACACGGGGACAATGTTTGAAACACGTTCTTGGTGTCGCGACCTGATAAAGTTCGAGTGTTGGTGAAAATCATCTTTAACACGACAACAAGATCGGCATAACACGAGACTATGTAGTTGTATGATTTAAATAAAGACATTCACTTTAAATACCTGTAAAGACCACATCCAACCTTTATTCCAGTGTGATATGGTCTGAAATATGTTTTAGCCACGGTACCCAAGACTGGCTTGATGAACGGTTTCAGTGTCCGGAGAGGAATCCGGAAGCGCCGAACCCGGAAGCGCGGAACTCGGAAGCGGGGAACTCGGAAGCGGGGAACTCGGACCCGTATGCCCCAGCGTCTGCGTCCCCATCCATCCGTTCCCATGGCGACCAGGACAGCGGTCAAACATAGAAGAAACACCAGCTTCATTCTCACACTGAAAATGAGGTCAAATCCTGAGAAATGCTGTCATGGAGAAACCATGAGAATCTGTTGTTTCCGGAAGTAGGATCAACGAGACCCTCCATAATTTTGCATGCTGAGCTATAGTTGCGTCAGTCATAGTGACTTCAAGTTATCAGTGTGCATAGGAAACGTCTTCGTCCCAAGGAGTCTCCCCAGCCACTGGCCACTGTCATTATTCATAACTTAAATCATGCTTCCATTACTCCCTGTGCGGAGTTATACATCCAGTGTGACGGCCTTTAAGCCCTGTCACCTCGGTTCAAGCACTGCCACTCCGGTTAAAGCACTACTACTTCGGTTTAAGCACTGTCACTCCGGTTAAAGCACTGTCACCGCGGATCAAGCACTGTCACCTCGGTTCGAGCACTGCCACTTCGGTTGAAGCCCTGTCACCTCGGTTTAAGCACTGTCACATCGGCTTAAGCCCTGTCACGTCGGTTTAAGCACTGTCACCTCGGTTCAAGCACTGTAACCTCGGTTTAAGCACTGTCACTTCGGTTTAAGCCCTGTCACCTCGGTTTAAGCACTGTCACGTCGGTTTAACCACTGCAACCTCAGATTAACCACTGTCACCTCAGATTAACCACTGTCACCCCGGATTAACCACTGTCACCTCGGTTTAACCACTACCACCTCGGTTTAAACATTGTCACCTCGGATTAACCACTGTCACCTCGGATTGACCACTGACACCTCGGATTAACAACTGTCACCTCGAATTAACCACTGTCATCTCGGATTAACCACTGTCACCCCGGATTAAGCACTGTCACTGTTAAGAGACAGTCGTGACAGTTTGAATACTTCAGTCAGGAAACAGTCGCTACAGACACAAGACAGTCACAGCTGTAAGGAGACCGTCGTGACAGTTAGAATACAGTCAGAAAACAGTCGCTACAGACACAAGACAGTCACAGCTGTAGGGAGATCGTCGTGACAGTTAGAATACAGTCAGGAGACAGTCGCTACAGACACAAGACAGTCACAGCTGTAAGGAGACCGTCGTGACAGTTAGAATACAGTCAGAAAACAGTCGCTACAGACACAAGACAGTCACAGCTGTAGGGAGATCGTCGTGACAGTTAGAATACAGTCAGGAGACAGTCGCTACAGACACAAGACAGTCACGGCTGTAGGGAGACCGTCGTGACAGATAGAATACAGTCAGAAAACAGTCGCTTCAGACACAAGACACCACAGCTGTAAGGAGACCGTCGTGACAGATAGAATACAGTCAGAAAACAGTCGCTTCAGACACAAGACAGTCACAGCTGTAGGGAGACCGTCGTGACAGATAGAATACAGTCAGGAGACAGTCGCTACAGACACAAGACAGTCACAGCTGTAAGGAGACCGTCGTGACAGATAGAATACAGTCAGGAGACAGTCGCTACAGACACAAGACAGTCACAGCTGTAAGGAGACCGTCGTGACAGATAGAATACAGTCAGAAAACAGTCGCTACAGACACCAGACAGTCACAGCTGTAGGGAGACCGTCGTGACAGATAGAATACAGTCAGAAAACAGTCGCTACAGACACCAGACAGTCACAGCTGTAAGGAGACCGTCGTGACAGATAGAATACAGTCAGAAAACAGTCGCTACAGACACAAGACAGTCACAGCTGTAGGGAGACCGTCGTGACAGATAGAATACAGTCAGAAAACAGTCGCTTCAGACACAAGACAGTCACAGCTGTAGGGAGACCGTCGTGACAGATAGAATACTTCAGTAGGGAAATAGTCGCTTCAGACACAAGACACCACAGCTGTAGGGAAACCGTCGTGAAAGATAGAATACAGTCAGAAAACAGTCGCTTCAGACACAAGACAGTCACAGCTGTAGGGAGACCGTCGTGACAGATAGAATACAGTCAGGAGACAGTCGCTACAGACACAAGACAGTCACAGCTGTAGGGAGACCGTCGTGACAGATAGAATACAGTCAGAAAACAGTCGCTACAGACACAAGACAGTCACAGCTGTAGGGAGACCGTCGTGACAGATAGAATACAGTCAGGAGACAGTCGCTACAGACACAAGACAGTCACAGCTGTAAGGAGACCGTCGTGACAGATAGAATACAGTCAGGAGACAGTCGCTACAGACACAAGACAGTCACAGCTGTAAGGAGACCGTCGTGACAGATAGAATACAGTCAGAAAACAGTCGCTACAGACACCAGACAGTCACAGCTGTAGGGAGACCGTCGTGACAGATAGAATACAGTCAGAAAACAGTCGCTACAGACACCAGACAGTCACAGCTGTAAGGAGACCGTCGTGACAGATAGAATACAGTCAGAAAACAGTCGCTACAGACACAAGACAGTCACAGCTGTAGGGAGACCGTCGTGACAGATAGAATACAGTCAGAAAACAGTCGCTTCAGACACAAGACAGTCACAGCTGTAGGGAGACCGTCGTGACAGATAGAATACTTCAGTAGGGAAATAGTCGCTTCAGACACAAGACACCACAGCTGTAGGGAAACCGTCGTGAAAGATAGAATACAGTCAGAAAACAGTCGCTTCAGACACAAGACAGTCACAGCTGTAGGGAGACCGTCGTGACAGATAGAATACAGTCAGGAGACAGTCGCTACAGACACAAGACAGTCACAGCTGTAGGGAGACCGTCGTGACAGATAGAATACAGTCAGAAAACAGTCGCTACAGACACAAGACAGTCACAGCTGTAGGGAGACCGTCGTGACAGATAGAATACAGTCAAAAAACAGTCGCTTCAGACACAAGACAGTCACAGCTGTAGGGAGACCGTCGTGACAGATAGAATACTTCAGTAGGGGAAATAGTCGCTACAGACACAAGACACCACAGCTTGAGGGAAACCGTCGTGAAAGATAGAATACAGTCAGAAAACAGTCGCTTCAGACACAAGATAGTCACAGCTGTAGGGAGACCGTCGTGACAGATAGAATACAGTCAGGAGACAGTCGCTACAGACACAAGACAGTCACAGCTGTAGGGAGACCGTCGTGACAGATAGAATACAGTCAGAAAACAGTCGCTACAGACACAAGACAGTCACAGCTGTAGGGAGACCGTCGTGACAGATAGAATACTTCAGTAGGGAAATAGTCGCTACAGACAAGACAGCGAAAGCGTCTAGAATAAAGGTACGGTAGTTACAGCAGTAGGAGGACAGTCGAAACAGCTAGAAGACTGTGTCAGTGGTGCGAGTAAGGTTGACGTGAGTATTTCAACCGCATCAGTCGACACAATAATCATAGACCTACCTTTATCGGGATGTCTGGCTCTGAGCATTGTTTGATAATACTTTGGACTTTTAAATACTCGGGGTGTTAAAGTCGTGAGCGGAGGTTTGTGTGAAAACCCATTACACAGCGCCACATGTGTTCCTCATCCCGCTATGTGTGATGTCCCGGATGCAGGCTGGCGTGGTATAGATAACTGCACAACATGATACTGCAGCATAAATCTAGCACCTTCATGTTGATGTGCAAACAAGAGGCCGGTGTTCCGCCCCGCCGGCCATACACGGGCAGCCATGCTCCATATCAAACATCTGTATGACGACTGACTATTAGCGATAAACTGTCACATGTTATAGTCGGACAGTCAAACCAATATTTGTCTTTTCATTCACCTGATGAAGGGTCAAGAAGTAACTCTGAAACGTCCTTACGTCCACAGCGCTCCACAAATAGAGTCTTCAAGTTTATGTTAAATGGCTCGTTTCTTCATGTTGTTAAAGAATATGTTTACCTTGGTATTTTATTTACAAACACTGGTAGATTCTGTAAGGCAATAAAGAGACTGACAGATCAGGCATCTAGAGCAATGTACGCTGTATTTCGTAAAATTAGAATATTAGAAATTCCTATTGACTGTCAACTGAAATTATTTGATCAACTTGTTCAGCCAGTATTGTTATATGGATCTGAGGTGTGGGGTTTTGAAAATGCTGTTGTCATTGATCGTGTACATCTTAAATTTTGTAAATATATTCTCAAGTTAAAACAGTCAACACCCGATTACATGGTATATGGTGAACTAGGGAGGTATCCTCTTAGCATTTTCATTAAGATAAGAATGATTTCATATTGGTGCAAGCTAACATCATCACAAACTAGCCTTTCTAGTATAGTATATAAACTTATGTTTCAAATGTCCATTGCAAATCCAGATTACCATTTCCCACTATTAAAAGAAGTAAAATGCATTCTTCAAAATATAGGCTTTAATTACATTTGGCTGTCTCAAACCTTTATTAGTGCCGCATGGTTGAAACAAAATGTGAAACATGTTCTCATTGATAATTTTCTGCAAAGATGGCGAGAATCAAAGGAATATTCATCTAAAGGTTACTATTATAACATGTTTAAAGAGTTACCATCTCTAGAACCTTATTTACTAGAACTACCAATCACCTTACGCATCTCTCTTGCTCGTTTTAGAACAGCAAATCATAGATTACCCATTGAAACAGGAAGATGGTATAATATTGTGAGAGAGGAAAGAAATTGTACATTGTGTAAAATTTTATATGTGATGAAATGCACTTTTTATTAGAATGTCCAAAACTCTCAGAAATTAGAAACAAGTTTTTGCCTCAATACTACTGTATGTATCCTTCTGCCGTAAAATTCTCTCATTTGATGTCCATTACTTATAAGCCAACTCTATTAAAACTGGCAAGTTATATAAGATCATGTATGGAAATGTTCCACTGACATGTTTTCTTCATTGTATCTTATTCCTGTGTCCAATTACATCTCTGTATCACTGCCGTGATTTACGAGAATAAACATCATTCATACAAAGAATAGAAAAGAAATTGTTATCCATAAAAATCATGTATTAATATTTGTCTTCTTTAATCACTGACAGTTGTTTAGACTGTATCCTTGGTCTAGCTTGTACTCAATGCCATGCACAGTCTTCGTACATTCTTCAAATCAGCACTAAAACTGCCTGACTTTGTACAACGTTATTCTTATCAAAGGTTCAAGATGTTTTATGTAAGACTACTGGAAGACATTTCCAAATTGTCACAATTTGATGCAATTCCGTATTTGGACTTGTACCAAACTTTTTAGGTGAACAGTTGACTTGCCTTCGCATGTGTCTGTGACACTTGATATTATCACAATTCAATAGT